CATGTTTTTAGAATTGCCATTTGTTTCATAATACTCTCTAATGTTTACTGACAAGGTCCGATAATGATTTGATGAAAGATTGTAAGATCAACAAAATTCTCCTGTGCAATAGTCAGAAAAAAGAACTTGTAAACATTGAACTGATTGATTTAGCAGCTGACATTAAAGTGCTGTTAAACCTCAGCTGGGTGTTACCTACATAACTCATTCAGTCAGGATTGTTGTGTATTGGTACTGATTTTGTTAGGTTTATAGAAGTGATTCTTGTTGCAGACCATTGTTGTCCTTTGTTAGATTATTTTATGTTTACACCCAGACTTGGTAACCTTAGTAGTGTCCAGCCTTTTGCCGGGTAGATAATATGTCTTGTATTATTTTGTGTTGTTTCCTCCTGTAATTATGCGGCAGTATTGATATTCCAGATTCAGGTTGTGGGCTAGCTCTGTTACTATTCATGCTGTTACAGATAACACTGCTAGTACTATAGTTCTTGTTGCTTCAGTCATTATGATGTATTTTTGTTCTTTTTTTTGTTCTTATTATTGTCATTGTTCTGTTCACTTCGGGGACTATCCCAGAAAGCACCAAAATTGACCAAGACAATTTAAGGTCAATGATGCCAAAGGATAATCACTTAGGGGACTTTAAAGATTCTTTTTGCAGGTTGCTAAGATTAGTAATACCCGTCTTATTAGCTATAGGCTTTTAGTTCCTTCCAAGAGTGGGGGAGTGGAAGGAGAAGAGGGACGTTTTTAATATCTTGTACTTACGAAGGGGGGAGTGTCTTAAATGTATATTAATGTTTTTTTTTTTTTTTTTTCATGAAAACATTCTGGAATCACCAAAGATAATCTATATATACTTGAAATAGCTCTAACCAAAATTCAGATTACAAAGAAAAAAAACTGCATATTTAGGCAAGGGTACAGGTGGCAGTAATATGGACTTGTGAAGGCTGCAGCAGAGGCAAGTGTCTGTCGCAGCATCCCATGATGTAGACACGTGTGATAAACTGCCTTGCAGTTCCACTCATTCTCAAAATTTTAGAATAGATTTACTACTACTACTATGACTACTACTAAGACTCTATTACTACTACTACTACTCTATTACTACTACTACGACTATATTACTACTACTACTATATTACTACTACAACTATATTACTACTACTAGACTTTATTGCTACTATACAACTATATTACTACTACTACTACTATATTCTACTACTACGACTATATTACTACTACTACTACTACGACTATATTACTACTACTACGACTATATTACTACTACTACTACTACTATATTACTACTACTACTACTATATTACTAATACTATATTACTACTACTACTACTATCTTACTCTTCTACTACTACTATCTTACTGCTTCTACTACTACTATCTTACTACTACTACACTACTACTATATTATTATGATTGGTATTATTATTATTATTACTACTACTACTACTACTACTACTACTACTACTACTACTACTACTACTACTACTACTACTACTACTACTACTACTACTACTACTATACTACTAATTTTTAGCACTAATACTGCTACTAGTAGTAGTAGTAGTAGTAGTATTGCTATTAGTAGTACTAGTATTACTAGTACTACTATACTAATATACTAATACTAGTATTGCTACATGTAAAACAAGTACTACTACCATTAGTACTATATGCTAGTGTCATTTATTACTAGTATTTATATTACTAAAAGTAGTTTTAGAGTAGTACTTGTAGGACTACTAGTATTATTGATATTACTACCACTAGATACTGCTGCTGCTACTGCTATGATAGGATTTCAGCTTATTTTGCCAAAGAGCCCATACATCTTGAAGTTGCAAAGACTAGTGATGTGATCAGAATTTAATTTCTTTCTGAAATTACCCATTTTATCTTTTCCATATGATAGCGGTTGGTAGTCTAAGAAAAGTCCCTCGGTTATTTGGGAATCGTGAGGTTGCAAGAGGGTTGTATTTAGAGGCTGAAGACAAACCGATGGGTTTGAATACTAGGTCAAGAAGTAGATTGTTGACTCGGTCTCTCTTTCCCGTTCCATCTAGGTGTGCGGGTATTTTCTTTACTTGACTTTTCTTGGGGCTCTATCCTTTTGATTTTTGGAGAGATGGAATGAATGCATTGCGTTTAGTGTCCTTTACGGTTGAAAACATTGTGCGATATTTGGAATGGTTCTTGTTTGAGTCTGTGGGTGATTAACAGATTGGCTGTTCTTTTTGTAACAGTCGTTATGTTTTGCATTGTAAAACCCATTGCTTTGGCCATTGTTCTGATGACTGTCATTGTCATAGCTGTTAATTTTTTCTTTTCTTTATTTTCAGTAAAGTCTGAACACCTGAAGACTTGAAGAATACCATCCACGAAACAGCAGCCAAGCCTGATTAGATTAGACCACAAGTTACCATTAACAAGTCAAGTCTGCATAGATGTAGCACTCTACAAGCAACCTTTTCAAGCCAGTCCATACAAGCACAACAGCCTACAAGTCCTAGCGTTCACTAGGGTAGACAGAAACTACTGCAACTCCTACGTCAATTGTGAAAAGAGGCTGGCAGGTCGTTACCGGCACACCAAAGCACGGCACAAGAAACTGAGTGACATCTGAGGACCAATTTTACCCCACTACAAGCCAGTTTTTATCACCGCCAAGCCTCGTCAAAGTCTTCTCACACATCCTGGCACAAACAAACAAATATAAAAAAAACAAAACAAACAAAAAATAAAAACAAAAATAACAAAAATAAAAAAAAGACGTGCATTTCCAAAAGCCGCCCCCCCTTTTCCCTCCTCCCCTCGTCTTTTTAATAACCGAGCATTCTGTAATCCAGTCTCGTCGCAAGAATCTGTGTTAAGTAGAATCTTTGTTGACCAAAGCCTCAGTGTATTAGATGTATCGTTTAGCCCTTGTGTCCTTTGGATTTTGGGCGAATTAGAATTTTTTCCTTTTATTTTTTCCTTTCTTTTCTTTTCTTTTCTTTTTTTCCTGTCTAGTGAATGTTTAAATTTGTTTTGAGACACAAAATTATCTTCTGAAGAAACTGGAAAGTCTCAAATATTTATTCTTGCTCTGTACTTTTATTGAAATTATAAAACTCTAATATTTGTTGACAAAGGTCTAAGTGTCTCATATGTTTCTTGTGTTAACACTGTAAACATTGTTCCTATATATAACAAGTGTGAAAAAAGAAGAAGAGAATTTTAAGCGAAACTAAGAACTCCCAAGCGATCAAGTAGTACCAACGCCAGCCAACCATGGATCCTCAGTGGACTTTATTCCAGCCGCCAATCTCAGAACCAGCAGTACTGGACTACAATGGGGGAACCCTGCACCACCACAATCGATACAACGGCTTCTACGAGTCTCCCGGCTCTGGTCACCACCAGTCCCGCAATTCCCACAGTAGCATCCCCCCGCCCTCTCCTACCTTCAGCTCCTCCAGCTCCCACCACAACATGTTCTCGTCCACATGAACAACCAGAGCAACCAGCAGTCCTCCCAGTCCAACCACCAGACCAGCCACCACTCGCAACAGCACTCACAGCAGCCACAGACATCGTCTCAGGGTCCCCCGCGATCGCCGCAACTCTCCACCTCTTCGTCCAACTATTACAGCTCCAACTCCAGCTCCCAGTACACCCCTCCAGTGGCAGACTTCAAGATCGGCACCTTCACCCTTAACGCCAATGGCTTCCCTTCCGAGTCCAACGGCCCCGAGACAACTAATTCTTACTCCCACACCAATGGCCTCTCCAGCAACAACAGCCAGAGCGTGAGGGAAACTGGAATTATCGAGAAGCTTCTGGTTAGTCTCTACTGTTTGTTTGAATGGGGTTGTAAGGGACTTCTGGAAAGTGTATCAAAGGAGTTTTAATGGATGTTACAGCATCTTTCCTCAGAGTGAACTTGTCTTTATTGTATTGGAATTTATTAGTCTAATACTAGTTGTTAATAGCTAATTATCATCTTGATTATAAGTCTCAAGTCCAAGTGATTCTATATCAATTGACCATATATATGTTTTTTTTTTTTCTTTTCTTTTTCCCCTATGTTTTTAATGCCTTTCCACTCTCTATTTTCAGCAAACCTATGGCTTCATACAGTGCTGTGAGAGACAGGCAAGACTCTTTTTCCACTTCTCTCACAGTTTGATGGTAATACTGAGCACCTACGTATTGGTGATCCTGTTGAGTTTGAAGTGACCTTTGATCGTCGCACTGGTAAACCTATTGCCTCGGCAGTTACCAAGATATCCCCGGAAGTGGTAAGACTGTGTATGAGTATTTTTATGCACATGTATAGATGTCTCTTTGGAGTCACTGATTTAGCTTTTTGTCTGTTTGTATAGACACATGGTTTAAAACATGTTTTATTCATAAAAATCTTCTCTTTTTCATGCCTCCCACTCGTCTTCTTTGCTTTCTTGTCCCCGTTAACTATCATCTGAGCTAAGGTTGATTGTTTACAGGTTTTGAGTGAGGAGAGGGTGATTGGTATCGTGACAACTGAACTGCGTAGTGAGTCAGGTGGTGAGCACCAGGGCCGAATCACCTATGAGAATAGGGGTGAGTGCTTCTTCCTCCCCTATGGCAAGGAGGACGTGGAGGGCTATGTGACTCTTAAGCCTGGAGACAAAGTCAGTTTCCAGATCGCTACCAATCAAAGGTGAGTTTATACCTCAGCGATGAGCACATCTTATTTTCTTTTTTCTTTTTTTATTTTCTTTCTTTCTTTTTTTTTTTTACTTTTGTATCCTTTATTGTATTTTGTTTTTTCTTTGTCATTTTAGGTAATTGCTTTGCTGTTGACTAATATTACTTTACTAAAACTATCTTAGTATATTTAGACATTCAATGCAATAATGTATCCTGGCAATGTTTGAAGGGTAAGTTATAAAGACTTCTTAATAAAGAATAAAACATTTTTTTACAGAACAAGAATAGAATTCACATTGCCAGTTAAAGTGAATGACCAATTCCTTATGTTATTTCTTCACCTCTTATAGATCCTGACTTTACTGTAAATACACCAAAATACCAAAAGTGTCATGTTAAAGTCTTTGGCCACTTGAATCTTGGGTTCCTCAAAAGTTTTAAGTGGAAAACTAACATTATTACATTGTACATTATAACTTCTATTAATGAGATTTGTACTCTGAAGGCCTATGTCTGACCCATACATACTTTTATAATTTTTATATAGGAATATAATTTATAGAGGAGTCAAGTAGTTGTATGAACTACAAACTCCTTTGTGCTTTTGCACAGTGTGCCAGTGATTTTCTTTGGTGCTCACATTCCTTTTGCATTACCTTTACCTGTTGTTGTTTGATTATAAATGTTATACTTCATGAAAGATATTTGTCCTTATCCAGTTTACATACACATGACATATATAAACAAAAAAATTTAATGAGAATTAGTTACAAGCCGAATTAACCATTGCAACTTGAAGCAGGACAGGCAACTTAGCGGCGAGGCATGTACGCCTAGAGAATCCAGCTCAGCCTGTGAAGTACCAAGGAGTTGTTAGTGGCATCAAGGACTCGTACGGGTTCATCGAGAGAGCAGATGTAGTGGACGAGATCTTCTTCCACTTTTCGGAGGCCAAAGGCATCACTGGAGGCCTCAAACTCGGGGATGATGTTGAATTCTACATTCAGACTCGTAATGTAAGTGGAGAGTGTGGTTTAGGGTGAGCTCTTGCTTAACTGGTATTTTATGAAATGGGATATACATATTCTAGTGGATTTATTTAGACAGTTTGTTGAAATCTAAAAAAACAGGAGGAAAGGCTTTATAAATTGAAAATGGCACGTTCATTTCTGATTTATTATGAACACTACAGAAACAGAAGTTTTTTCTTAATATACTGTTTTCTCCTCAAAGGGCAAAGAAGTTGCAGCCAACATGGTGAAGCTGAACCCGGGTACTGTTGTGTTTGAAGACATCAACCAGGAGATGATCAAAGGTCAAGTACTCAAGCCCATTGAGAAGAACTCCCGCCTCTACCAGAAGGACCCCCTGGACGGACGCATCCGTTATAGGGGAAAAGACCGCTCAGAAGTATGTTGCTCAGCATTGGTTGTACTAATCCCTTCTTCAGTTGTGGTGTAAACGTTGGCTTTTGCTTTTCTCAAAATGCTGTTAGCTAGTGTTTTTATGTCTGTATATTTTTTATTTGTTTGGATTTTTCCTTCACGCATTGACTTTGTATTTTGTAGGTGGAGGTGAAATTTGGAGAGCGGACCAGAAGGGTGACTTCACCTTGCGCCATGGAGACTGGGTCCAGTTCAACATTGCAACAGATAGGAGAGATCACCTGCAGAAGGCCACAAATATCTCTCTGCTTGATGAAAGGTAAAAAATGGGGAATAAGAAGCTTGTGATTGGTGCAAATAAGAAACAGAGATCAGACTTCATTATTTTTTAGGAGCAGGGAAAGGGAAGGGAAGGTTAAAGTAATCCCATCTTTATCCGCAGCTTCAAGGTGTCTGGCGAAAAGCGTGAACAGGGAGTGATCGTCGCTCTGAAAGAAGGCTTCGGCTTCATCAAGTGTGCTGATCGGGATGCTCGCATGTTTTTCCATTACAACGAACTCTTAGACCCAGAGCATGAGATCGCTATCAATGATGAAGTGGAATTTACTGTAGCTCAGGTATGCGACTGGATTTGGATCTTGTTTTTAATTTTGAAATTGGAAGATGAGAAATGTAAATTAATATGAAGAGAAGTATTGTAAATATAAAAGCCACATAGGTAAAGAATAAAGAAAATAAATGTGCTGTCCTTCAGGATACAACAAATCAGTCACCGAATCGCCAAAGTGCCATTCGCATCCAGAGTCTGAAGAAGGGCACTGTTAAGTTTGAGGTGTTGGTGAAAGAAGGACTCCAAGGACAAGTAAGTGTACATGATTGATGAGGTATATATTGTTATTTGAGAAATGACTACTTGTCGAAATTTATTGATTTAATTAAATTTAGGTTTTCTTTGCTATTCAGGCATCAGATCCCTTGCTATATGTATATACAAATAAAAGATCATGGATATAGTAACATGATTCTCTCTTCCTTAGGTTACAGTGGAAGCTCCAGGTAGCCCTAGGAGCCCCCACAAGAACAGCCAGATGTTAACCACTGAAAAAATGCAGGAACCTGGAGTCATCTCATACACTTTAGACGGAGTGAAGCAGACTATAAACTACTATGCTAATAACTGTGATAAACCTTTGCAAAGTGGAGATAAGGTATGGAGCTTCAACCGTTGTTAGTAATATTTCTCAAGATGTGATGGATCAAGTGAGATTTATAATGTAATTGTTTATCATCGCATTTGAAGTCTTGATTTACTAAAGCTTTTTGTCATCTCTGATGGCAGGTGGAATTCAGCATATATCAGGTAAAGCGAACCAAGGAGCTTGTGGCAATGGGGATTCGACTGGTGCGAGGCCAAGCATCTGTCCGCCCAACGGCCAATAACCTCACTTCTGCTGCCACCACTGGATTGTCTTTGCGCTCTAGCCAGACCAATGCCCCAAGGTAAACATGAGATTGAATGATAGTGTTTATTTCCTTCCATAGATGATATTGTTTGTTTTTCTTCCTCGTCTTTGTCCTTTTTCGTTTTTTCTTTTCTATATTTCATCATTAGCACAAAATATGACATTGCAGTTAGTTTCCATGAACTGTGGCAGTGAATACATGAATAAGTGTAATATTTACTTAACCCATTGATGACTGAAATATGCCCTATCCAGTATGGTTTTGTTTTATTAACGCATTTTTACACGTTGATGGCTCCATAGCTTAGTCACCAAGGAGTCAATCCATACATAATAGATGGTCTCTAATTACGTCATGACAGACTAGGCCCAAATGCTAAGTGGCAAGTATACATGCCATGAACAGATGAGCCATGTAAACAGTTGCTCACTTGTATGGCAGGCTCTACCGCAGGCACTAAGGAGATTGTCCCTCAAAAATAGAGTATAGCTTTTTTTTTTTTTAGCCTTACTTCCATAAGAATTATGCATGCACAGCCTAAAGTGTTAAAGGTTAACTACTAGGCCACGAAACCACACGTGTTTCCTCCATTACTTTTTTTTATGAACTCTTACTATTATCATGATGATATCGTCACTGCTAAATTAATATATTAAAACAGTAATAGTAGTAATGGAAGTTAAAAATCCTGAAAATACAAGAGATGGAGTGAGGTGAGGTTATTTAGCCCTGGTAATTGGTTTGTTGGTGGCTAACTACTTTTGGATCGATCTGTGTTGAAAAAATAGGAAAAGGCTTGTATGCACTGTAGATACACTCCCAGCATCAATGGATTAAGAATATATACATCTTGTTTTATTACATTTTTCCTTTTCTTCAAAAAAGAAGGTAAGAGAGTGTAGTATCAAATGCAGGGTTTTGAATAAAATAAATGCAGTTTATTATAAAATTATAGATCATATATTTTTTGGACATATGAATTAGAAAATTAAGATATAAGATTTGAAGAGTATATTTTGTATATGAAACAAGTTTAACTGGGTTTATACCATAATATATGAAAAGACAAATTATTATTGAAGTTTTACATTTTATGTAATCAAATATGTTTTTTTTCAACAATGACTACCACACTTTGCAGCACACCAAGTAATGGGAATGTCACCAGCAACAGCAGTACTAGCATTAATGGCAAGAGCAACACCCCTGGCCCTCGTCCCTCTGCCACACTACACCAGGGCTTCGTAGCAGCTCTCAAGGACACCTTTGGTTTTATTGAGACCATATCTCACGACAAGGAGATCTTCTTCCACTTCAGGTACTTGTATAAACAGAGGATATCTGTGAATCTTGACAGAATGATAGAAGTTTCTGTGCATTTGTTCTGTAGAAAGAATAATGGAAATTGAAAATTAATTATGATATAAAAAGAATCTGATGTTAGGGGACCATCCTTGGTGGAGGAAGGGAGAGGGTGGAGTTAGCTAGCTTAGGATATACGTACACAAATGAGGAAACTACCAAATGACTGTTAGAGCCCACCTTGGGTTATTTCTTGGGAGGAGCAAGGGCATAAGTGGCAACAGGTAAACTACGCATGCAGGTAATTAGCGCCAGGTACACTGTATGGACTTTATCTTTGTTGCAATCTTGCATATGGCATTTGATAAGGACATAGGGAATAGGTATGAGCTTGTGGAATGTCCAAAGAAAACTTTTATAACAATATCAAAAAAAGGAAAATCAATGATTTATGATATATTTTGCAAGATTGTTTAAAAACAAATAATGGAAGTTTATGTACATTTACACATGAAATATGTTTTCTCCAGAGTCCCTGGTGATATGCTGTAGCTTAAAACTGGGTCTGTTTGTGTTACAAGTACAAAGTGCTAATGTTAAAAAATCCTTTGGCATTTATAAAGGTGCTCTTGCAATATTCCCATTGATAAATGAGTGTAAAATGATGTGGCCATGGGCCACGGCTGGATGTGTGCCGCTTCCAGGGAGGATGCAATTTCTATGCTCAGCATCCTATTCTTGGCCACCCTGACCAACAGTGGAAAGCTATTGATGATAATCATTATATGTAGGATTTACTTCTCTTTGTGGTCGGTACCGTCCACCGTTGGTAAATATGTTTTGATTTAAAAATGGTGGTTTCTGGTTGTATAGGGAACTGCAGTATGAAGGGCATCTTGGTGGAGGATTTTTCAAAAGTAAAATTATTACTAGTTAACCTATTAACGACGGGTGTCCCATATATGAGACACCCGAAAAAAAAAATTGACGGGTGTCCCCCAGTGTGACGCTGTATTGGGCTTGCGCTCCGATGCAGCAGCTAATTTTGCTTGGGGAATTGAGGGCTCATGCCACCCCTATGGAGATTGGTTGAAATGATATATGAGAAGTGCCATTTTATGTTCTATGAGATGCCCAAAGAATCAATTAGTT